GAAATAAAAAATATGTAATACATTAGGCAAATCCACTGCACAAGACCTCTTTAAAGTGTTCAAGAGCAAAGATGTCAGTCTGAGCACTACAGTGCACCTGGCCCAAGTCATGATCTTTTCAATAGTCTCATATGTGTGTGAAAGTTGCACAGTGAATAAGGAAGACCATTGAAGATTGATGCATTTGAGTTCTGATGTTGTAGAAGAATATTAAAAGGATATATAGCTGTTGTTGTTAAATGCCATCCATTGAATTGGTTCTGACACATAGTGACCCTGTATAGGTTCTGAGTTGGTGAGTTTGAACTGCAGACCTTGCAGTATTAATCTTGGGGTCGGCAGTTCAAACTCAACAGCTGCTCCTCAGAAACCTTATATAGGGTCGCTATTAATTGAAACCAACTCGACTGCGCTTAATAACCAGGGTAAGTAAAATATATTGTTACAAAATCACCGAAACCTATATTAAACAAAAACATCAATATGTGAATCTATTGTTTTGAGACATACCCTCCATCTAGGTCTGCACACTTCTAAAGATAATGTTTATGTATTTCTGTTTCCCGAAGAAATCTGAGTTCTTTGATTTACACCACATCAAAATGGCAATTTTAGCATCCTCTGGGAACTCAAATCATATTCCTTTGAAATGGTCTTTGAATTTGGGCTACAAAAAGAAGTCTTAAGAGGCAAGATCAGGATTGCAGGGTGGATGTGGTACGGTTTCCCAAATAAATTCTCATAGGATAACCCTTGCTAAACTTGAAGAATGAGAAAGTGCATTGTTGTGATGGTAAAAATTCCTTAACACAACATTCCTTGCCTTTTAATCACTAATGCAGCTTTCAATTTTCTTAAAATTTCTTCCTAATAAGCACGCTAATCCTCCTGTGCCTTTTGAGAAAACCTTACATGATTACTCCTTTGGAATCCCCAATATAAAAAGTCATCGGAACCTTCTGAAATGCCCTTTGTACCATGAATTTAACTGGCCTAGCAGGTCTTCTCAGAAGCCATTATTTCAATTGAAAGGCACCCACACAAGACTAAGACAAATATATTACTGAAAAAAAAACGTGTCTACAGGAATCCATTGATCACACAGAGGCATGTCTGAACACATTTTATTTGAAATAAACTGAATGCATGAACTGAAGCCCTAATAACAACACTTTTTGACCTACTCCTGTAAATGTGTGTGTGTATGCATACGTGTGTGTGTATGTATATAATGTTATTGTTGTTGTTAAGTGCTGTTGAGTCAGTTCCAACTCATAGCAACCCTGTTTCCAAGGAGCAGCTGGTGAACTTGAACTGTCAACCTTGCAGTTCAAACCAACTTTGCAATCCAGTGCGTGCATTAACTCACAGCGCCACACCAGGACTGTGTATATATGTTGTTGGTAAGTGCTGTTGATTCTGTTCTTACCCATAGCTACCCTGCATAGGGTTTCCTAGGAACGGCTGGTGAGCTTGAACCACTGACCTTGAAGTTCAAACTGACTTCGCAGTCCAGCGCATAAACTCAAGTCAGTTCTGATTTCAAGGAGTGGCTAGTGGGCTTGGACCACAGTCCAATGTGTATCATACAACTCCACACCAAAACCTATTATATGGCTATATATGTTGTTAAGGAGCTCTGGTAGTGTAGTGATTATGAATTGGGCTGTGAACCTTAAGGTCACTACCAGATGTTCAATGGGAGAAAGATGAGGCTTTCTGTTCCTGTAAAGATATACAGCCTCGGAAACCCTATACAGGGTCGCTATGAGTTGGAACCGACTCCGCAGCACATAACCACCACCACCATATATGTTGTTGTTAAGTGCTCTGCAGTTGGTTTTGAATCATAGTGACACTGTATACAGTTCCCAAGGAGTGGTGGTTGGTTTGAACTGCCAATCTTATCACTTATCCTACAGCAAAACATGAAGTTTTGTAGGATAAGTGCAGTGCTTATCCTACAGCAAAACACCAGGAACCCATATGTATATGTATGTTTTTAAATCCTAGGAAATCAGTAAATACTAATATATCCCACTAGGGAGGATTTGGTCCAGAGAGAATGGGATTGAGAATGGTTTGTAATAAAGAGCCTAGAGGATTGTGTGCTGACCCTAGGGTGATCCTTTTCTAAATCCAGCAGCAGAGACAACACAAACAGTTGAGGTTTAAAGTCATATTCTAGTCTTGCTTTCTGCCTTTTTCTATATTAAGAGGAGGAATGGTTCATATCCCTGGCTGGAAAAAAAAAATCACTGATTTTTTTTTTTTTTTTTTAATGTGGAGGTAGTGGAACACTTTATTTCTGGAACAGTCACAAAACATCTGGGTAAGTTTGTCTAGAGAAGGACCTCAACCCAAACACAGAAACATTTGTTCCTGACATTCACTGCAAAAGCATTGTACCAATTTACTAACTTGATGTAAAGGTTGAGACACTGAACATAGACATTTCCTTGGTTGCAAAATATAGTGCCATCTTGAGGAAAACAAATGAGAACAGATAGTTAAATGGTGCTAGCTGGTACAGCACCTTGAAGGTCAAATCAGAAATGTGGAATATCCAACTTTGCTAATTCAATCTGCATTTTTAAAAGCCTAGATTACATGTACATAATAATATGTCACTTTATTATTTTCAGTACACTTTGTACGTATGAAAAGGCTAAGTGTTGTTCAGCAGAAGTCCCAACAGACCTGATCCTGCCTGATTTGTAATTAACACATTTATTTGTTAGTATGCAAATAATTACTGCCACAGTACTTAAGGAAAAAAAATGTACGTGTTCTTAAATAAGTACAATGTTTCTACTGCAATATAGTTTGATTTGTCATTAGTGTTGCCAAACTCTTTTTTTTTTAACAGAGAAAACAATGTTAAATAGCAAACCAGCAGAAGACCACGAATTTATCCAATAGAAATCCAGTTGCGTTAGACTTGAAAAGTTGCGTAAAGATACTTTGAGATTAGATAGCAAGTGTGTAACATTGATTTCAGAGTGGCATAGATAAGGTGTAAATTGGAATAAGCAAGGTAAAACTTCCTATTTGTAAAATAATTTGCTCTCATTTGTCCCTATATAGATGTGACAAAGAGGCTTTGATTCAAAGTCCAGCTCCACCATTTACTACCTCTATGATTTTGGCTGATCAAGGTATTAGGAACTCCTCTCTTCATTTAAAGAAGACGTCAGAAGCAGAATACTGACAATATAGCATAATAGTTAAGCAAAAGGATCCTGAAGTCAAACTAACTGAGCTCAGAAACCTGACTCTACTACACTGCCTATGTATTAGTTTGACAAAGTAATTTAACCTTTTGAATCTTTTATTTTCTAATCTATACACTGTTCATATTATTAGTTGTTGTTTCTATTCTTACTGTTAGATACTATTGAGTTGATTCCAACTCATAGAGACCCTGCACACAGTGCACAACAAATGAAATACTGCCCAGTCCAGCGCCATCCTCACAATTGTTACATTTGAGCCTATTGCTGCTGCCACTATGTTAATCCATCTCGTTGGGGGTCTTCTTCCTTTTTGCTGACTCTCCATTTTACTGTGCATGATGTCCATCTTCAGGGACTGGTATCTCCTGATAACATGTCTGAAGAATGAGCGACAAAGTCTTGCCATCTTGGCTTCTAAGGAGCATTCTGACTGTACTTCTCACAACACGGATTTCTTTGTTCTTCTGGCAGTTCATGGTACTTTTCATACTCTTCTCCAACACCATCTTTCAAATGCACTGTTCAACTTGCACATGAGGTGATTGAAAATATCATCTCTTGGATGAGGCACAGCTTTGTTCTCAAAATGACATCTTTACTCACTAACACTTTAAAGAGGTCTATTACAACAGATTTGCCTAATGCTTCCGTGAGTGTTGATGATAGAGTCAAGCATAATGAAGTCTTTGACTATTTCGATCTTTTCTCCATTTATTATGGCATTATTTATTGGTTCAGTTGTAAGGCATTTTGTTTTCTCTACTTAACGCCTAAGATTGTTGTGAATGTTTGATAAAGTAATCTAAGCAAAGCACTTAGCAGAGTGACTGAAACATGGTTGTTGTTTTTTAGGTGTTGTCGAGTCTGTGCACAACAGCATGAAATACTGCCGGTCCTGTGCCATTCTCTCAATGGTAAGCCCACAAAAAACACTAATTCCTAAACTCTTACCCTCTGTGCTTTCATTATTTTGGATAATGACCAATCAAGTCTATTTAAAAAGGTCTCGTTAAGATTATTAAATATGACCTCCATATTGCATACTTCAACTAGCAGCATGCAACGCAGATGGCCACACTCTCATTGAAATGTGAAAACTGGGAAATATTCAGGAAGATGCAAAGAAGAAACTAATTCCTTGGAGGAGAAAACTTGGAAATGAATGCTGGAAGGGGACAATGGGGTCTCGGTCCTTGAAGTACCTAAAAAGAAAAACCATCGCATGAGTATTTTGGATTCTCACTGGCCCAAAGACAGATGCTGGTTCAGATGTTCTCTGGAGGTTTCTTTTTGCCTTTGGAGTCTGCTAGCAGTTACTGTTTGTGCAGCAATAACAAATACAGTTGTGAACACTTACATGTTTCTACAATCCTCATAATAATACTGTGAAGTAGATTTTGTCTAAATTTTAAAGTTAATTAAACATGCTTATAAAAACACAGATAACAAGACCATGAAGATAGTAGTAAACCAGAATATTCTTTTTTATTTTATTCACTCTTGCATAAATTCAACCAATATTTATTGAGCACCTTCTATGTACCAGGCACTGGTATACTAACAATAATCAAAGCAGATAGAATCCCTGCTTTCATGGATCTTGTATTTTAATAGAATATGACCCATGTTGTCTGGTTCCAAAGCCTGATCCTGTCTTATAATCTAATATTGTGTTCCCTGATTGGACTTTGTATCATGTTACCATTTTACACTGAAGTAGTTTTTTGTTTTTGTTTTTTTTTTTTCCCCAGATACAGCAGAACCATGCACCAAGATAACCAAACTATGATCTCTGAATTCTTTCTTCTGGGACTCACAGTTGGGTCTAAACAGCAGCAGCTTCTCTTTGTGCTTTTTCTGTGCATGTATCTAGCCACCATGGTGGGAAACTTACTTATTATCCTGGCTATCAGCAGTGACCCTTCTCTCCACAGCCCCATGTATTTCTTCCTTGCCAATCTATCCTTTGCTGACATCTGCTTCACTACCACCACAGTCCCCAAAATGTTGGTAGACATCCAAAGCCAGAGTCCAACTATCTCGTTTGCAGGATGCCTTACACAAATGTATTTTTTTATGTTGCTGGTTGACCTGGACAATTTCCTCCTGTCAGCAATGGCATATGATCGATACATTGCCATCTGTCAACCATTGCACTATACTGCGTTACTGAGTCCCAAGCGCTGTGCCCTTTTGGTACTGATCCCGTGGGTCATCTCCAACTTTGTTTCAGTACTGCATCTCAGTATGCTGAGCCACTTGTCTTTCTGTGACCATAGAACAATTCTACACTTCTACTGTGACCTGGAATCTGTTTTAAGACTTGCTTGCTCAGACACCTATAGCAATGACTTATTGATCCTAGTTATTGGCGGAGCAGTCATCTTCATCCCTTTTACTTTCATTCTTGTTTCATATGCCCTTATTGGCAGCATTGTGTGTGGGATTCCATCAGCCAAGGGAAAGTGGAAAACGTTCTCTACTTGTGGTTCCCATCTCACAGCAGTGTCCCTTTTTTATGGGTCCATCACTGGGGTCTACTTTCTTCCTGCTTCTTCCTACTCAGCAGAAAGGGATAAGGTGGCTGCCATCATGTATACCATCGTAACTCCCATGATGAACCCCTTCATCTATAGTCTAAGGAACAAAGACATGAAAGGGGCACTGGGAAGACTACTCAGCAGGAAAAACTTTTCCTGGAGATGATGAGCTCTGCCAATAGTTGCTGTTGTTGCTGTTAAGTGCTGTTAGAGTTAATTCCAACTCATAGCAAACCTGCATAGAGTTTCTGAGAAGCTGGTAAGCTTGAACTTCCAACCTTGCAGTTTAAACCAACTTTGCAGTTCAACACATTAACCCACAACACCACACCAGGATTATAAATTATGCCTGCATTAACTACTAACTTGATGAACATATAGGGGATCCACAGTCACAGACTACTATCCTCCTTAGCTGCTTTCTCCCTATCCATTTCCTGACCCCAATGCAGACTCAAGACAATAAATGAGACTCACATCCCCATAATGTGATGTATGCTCAACCTTGGAACAACAGGGCTCTGTGATACAGGGATCGAGGCATAGTCTGAATGGGTAAAAGAGGGGAAATAATGTTAAGATGTTAGTTTGTCTTATGAATGTTGGTTTCCCTAGCATACTACTGTAAAATAGACTCTTGAGTGGGATAGAAATGAATATCGGGAAACATGATTTACAAAAACCTTGTAAGCCTGTCTTCAGCCTATAACTGATTGGCATACCTAAAAGGGGTTCTAGAACTTCCCCAGTGAAATAGGCTTCTGGCGGAGACTTTGTATTATATAAGACCTTAGGTGAAATCTTGAGCCCCATCCAGAACATTCTGAGGTGGGACATTCCCACTAGAAAGGACAAGCAGACCAGCCTGGTGCAGCTAGAGGAACAGAAGATACTTCTTGAAAGAAAGACCAGCAGGAAAAATAAAAAACAAAAACATCAGTCTGATAGGCTACTACAAAAACAAGCAAGTTGTTCACTGGGGAGCCATCAAGGCAAATAATCAAGTTCCTTCAGGACAAATCCCACTCCAAGATTGAAGCTCAAAGGGAGCACATGAGCAGGCATGTAAGCTTGCTGGTGACCACATTGGTCTCCTGGTGAGTGGAAGAGGGGGAAAGGCAGCAATGAAAATATGAGCTGAGTTCAACAACAGTCCATTGACTCCCGTTGACCTGGAGATGAGAGAGAGGAGAGGAAAGTCTTGTTGGTCCGAAGTGTGGTAAGACTTGGGGACTCCTGAGCCCATGTACAAGGACATAGCCAAAGAGGGCTAGAGTTCAGAGCGAAGTGCCCAGCTGATATGAAGTGAGAGGAGAAGCACAAGAACACACAAACTTGCAGATAGTACTCATTTGACCTAACCTCGATGGCTTGATAATCAGAACTCAAATAGAGGAAGATAAAGAAATTTAATAAAGGAAACAAGTGTAAATTTCTACAATTTGGTGAACTTGACCTTTACTTATGGATGTAGTACCTCAAAATACCAACAGAGAATGAAGGAGTCTTCACATCAGATATCAATCCTATCCCCTCTGTACACAGGGTTGATAAGAATGAGAAACTTAGACACTAGCTACCTAAAATGGGAGGGGATGGAATATAAAGGCACAAAATTTTCAAGGCTTACAAGTTTTTTAAGAGGGAGTTTAGTTTCACAGTGTGCAGGGGAGGTAGAATCTTCACTGAATAGTTTTCATCTTGTCTAGATGGGTCTGGTAAAAGGAGATGGGGATGAGATTCTTATGATTCAATAGTGAGTAATTGTTATCATTACTAATTGTGACTGTCACAACTGTAAAGGTAGAAATTTTATAATATAAAGTGGGGAGTAGTTGATCTTACAGCCCAGGAACAGAGAACCCTAGGACCATCAAGCTTCCACATGAGCAGAATGTTGCACCCTATCTGGAGAAGCAGCGACCGACACCAGAGATGGAGGCAGAGATGAAGACATAGAGAGAGAGAGCAGCCGAGAACTCCAGATTCATGGAAAGAGAAAGGCTGTGCTGGTGGCCAGGAGGCAGGCTTGCAGAATGTGCCCTTTGGTTGTTTAAATGATTATATATTCCTGAGTGTTTTTGTGTACTACAACAACAGCAACAGCAGCAAAAAACACCCAAAAACAGAGGCAATAGAAGCAAATACTATTGAATAGTGATACATGGAGGGGATTGTAATCATTGTAATGTTATGAAATACTATAGGATGAGTGCAAAAGTGATGTTGACCCATGTAAACTATCACTCAATGCACAATAAAAGCTTTTTAAAAAATGAAACAAGGTAGGGAGGAAGAAAAGAATAAATGGAGAATTGATGACGATAGCTCAGAACAGCTCATAGATAATATAATAAAATACACAAACAACATAAAAACAAAAACAAGTCTCAAAATAATCCTTTGTACTAAACTCTATACCATTTCCATGTATTAAATTAGACAGGAAAAGAAATACAGTCACCAAACTGGTTCTTTTTTGCATCCTTGATCATAACTGATGCTTCTTATTACTTCTACGGAGAACGTCCATTGGTAGAAACAGCAACACTTAGAATTTATACACACACACACTGTAGTCTATGGAAATATAGAGATACCATCTTGGAATAGAGTCCTGGTATGGTGCTGTGGGATAGAGCACTGGACCTCAAGGTTAGTTTAAACCATAGGTATACGGGATTGCTGAGTTGTAACCAACTCGAAGACACTTAACAACAATCACCTTGGAATAGGGAGCGCCATGGCTCCAAATGATCGCAGTGGTTCCATAAGGATAAACACTGAATTGTGAATCACAAGGTCCATGCTCCTCTGAAAAAAGATGAGGCTTTCTGTTCCCACAAAGATTTAAAGTCTCGGAAACCTATGAGTCGGACGACTCAATGGCACTTAACAACAACCTTGGAATGTAGACTACTGTGAAATATAAGAATGTGGATCTTTGTTTTTGGAAGCCTGGAACACACACCATCCTTCAGATCCCATCTGTAAAACAATGATGAAGTTTGTATGTAATGTCAACCAGTTTGATCTATTGTCCAAATACCTAAGCTCTGCAAGGAGCTCTAGTAGCGTAGTGGTTACGAATCGGGCTGCTAACCTAAAGGTCAGCAGTTCGAAACTACCAGCTGTTTCGCGGGAGAAAGATGAGGCTTTCTGCTCCCGTAAAGATTTACAGTCTCGGAAACCCTGTGCAGGGTCACTATGAGTCAGAACCAACTCCACGGTACTTAACAACAACAACATAGTCTTTCAGTTCTCCTGGAGAGTAGATAATTTGACAGTGCGTATGCAGCAGATGCTTCAAGGCATTTTTGTACTCTTTTTTGTTTTGTTTTAACCAAGAAGGTATAGCTTTTTAATATCAATTTAGGAGAAAGCTAAGAGCATAATACAAATTAGTTCAAAACGTTGGCTTCCTTAAGCACTGTTTTCACCACTTGAGACATAATGATCATATCTAATCACAACCATTTTAACTACATCTTATCCATAGATGCTACGTCTAGTCTTTATTTTTTTGTGAATTGAGTGAAAGTTTACAGGGCAGATCATCATTTTTACAGTCAACACATCATATACTTTGTTTCATTACAATGATTATAATCCCCTACATGTACCATCAGTTAACAGTATTTCTCTCTATTCACTTTAGCTCCTTTTTTTGTTTTGTTTTTTAAACACTCAAGTATATATTTTTACTGTCTCATACAACTTTTGGAAAAATAATCCAAAGGAATAATCCAAAAGAAGGAAATAGTGTTTGGTACAACGACATGAATTATGGGAATCACTAAATTTTCTAACTCACTTGCATTTTGTATATTTTAATACATAATTATGAGTGCTTGGATTCTGAAGTTCATTCATTCATTTCATGCACATTTATGAAGGATGGTGCCTAGGTTAGACAGTGTTTTAAGCACTGGCAGCATAAATCTAAAATGCACAATCCCTGCTCTGAAGGGGGATTGCCATCTAGGTGAAGACATTCATAATACAGGGTATGATGTATATCTAGGGAACCGGATGAGCCCTAGTCCCGATACATAGCAACTATATCAATAGTCTTTGTGTGGGGTTTTGAGAACCAGTACTGGAGACTCCTCAAGAACTTAAACTGGGATTCACCCTGCTTTAAGAATGGTGCCGTTTTGGGACAAGTATCTGCTAATTAAACAGGACCATAGAACTTAAATTCTTACCACACTTCTTATTCTGTGCCATTGAATCATTTTCAACTCACAAGACAGCATAGAACTGCCCCATAGAGTTTCCTAGGGCATAATCTTTATGGAGCTCTGGTAGCGTAGTGGTTACGAATCGGACTGCAAACCTTAAGGTCAGCGGTTCGAAACTACCAGCCGCTCCGCGGGAGAAAGATGAGGCTTTCTACTCCCGTAAAGATTTACACCCTCGGAAACCCTGTACAGGGTCGCTATGGGTCGGACCCGACTCGATGGCACTTAACAACAACAACAACAACAAATCTTTATGGAGGAGTCCTGGTGTGGCGCTGTGGGCTAATATGTCAGACTGCAGAGTTATCAGCAGTTCAAGCTCACCAGATGCTCCTTGGAAACCCCATACAGGGTTGCTATGGGTCAGAATCAACTCGATGACACTTAACAACAATAATCTTTATGGTAGCATATCATCAGGTGTTTCTTTCAAGGCGTGACTGAAGGGTTCAAACAGCAGATTTTTCAGTTAGCAGCCAAAAACTTAACCAATTGTGCCACCTGGGTTCTTTACAGTACGTGTGCTAAAACCTTATATGTTCCAATGGTGCACATTTGTTTAAGATTAAGCAGTTTTGGCATACACAAATAAAGTACCCTTTAAACACTCAACACTCACTGATAGAAACAGAGAATACAGAAAGCAATGAGAGTGAACCAATAGTTCAGGACAAGAAACTAGCCTACATTCTTGAGATAACATAAAGCTTTAAAAAAAAACACCAAATGTGTTGACTTTGTACTTCACAGAGATCAAAGATGGCGTACCCTTCTGGAAAGTAAACTAATTTAAACATACCTCTGAAAATGTTTTTTTTTTTTCATGTTATTTTGAATGGAGATGGCTGTAGGCTTATTTTGGTGACTGTAGGCTTAATTTGCTATTCTTTTTCTAATTGTTGAAGGTATTTGGTTAAGGTAT